TTAACCGCAGCCCATCGTCTAACTTCAACATACAAGTCGCATTAACATGATTCAAGTCTCATATTGCTCCTAAGACATGGTACTACAACTTTCATTTAGCACTCAAAAGCAAATAAGGTCTTATACATGGTCCAAAACCAGCAAACATTCAAAGCTAAAATGCTGTCCAGAAATTAAAATAACTTCATGTGCAGTTTTACGAAAACATGTATCATTCACTACTCGGACCATATTTTTGCTTGATTTCAGAACCACATGAAAGATAACACATAGAACTACAATTTCAATGAAGACTTCAGGTTCATTTGAGCACATTATCATATCATAAACACACAAAACATCCAAACCAAACTGCAGCCGGATTTAAGAAAAACTGCTCGCGCAACAATTTGGTAAAAATCATAACTTATTCGTTTTAAGTCAAAATTGCACGATTCTAAAGCTCATGTAAACACAACTGCACGAACTACATATCATATGAAGAACTCGAAAACCGAAAACTCAATCTCAGGGGCCTAAACTGCTCCCGAACAGACAGCACGAAAACAGCAATTACACATGAAATCATACCAATTTTATCCGAACTTCATATCATCTCGAAAGCAACCTAAAGCATGGGTTCTAGGCACGTTCATCACATAATAAAACATGATCAACAATACATACATTGACAACAACTAACCCTATTCACATAGCATTCAATCAATTCTTCCGGAAGCCCGACAAGACTCCGACCAATTCCAATTCATCATATAACTCAAAATTATTTACTCGGACCTTAAGAAAGCATACGAGGTTCAATTATCAAGTCTTAACACATTAATAATACATGCGTTATTAACCGAATTCAAATTAACAGTCCAAGGAGGTTAAGGCGTTAGGGTTTTATCGCTCGAAAAAAAAAGGATGACGGTAAGGGTTCGAAAGAGGGCTCGTGGCTAGACGATGGGCTGCGGTTAAAGGCTGGGATCCTTTACGGCTCGGTCGCTCTTGCTTGGGCTCGCCAGAATCGCTGCAAAGGTGCTGCGACGATCGCGAAGGGCTTCTGCACGGTGTCGAACGTCGAAGGAGCTGCTGTCCACGGCGGAGGAGGCGGCTTGCTGCAGTTGCTGTGGCTTGCTGCGGCTCGGCTCACGGTGGCTGAGGGCTGGGGTCTGCTCGGCGTGGGGAGGAGCTGTGACGGTGAAGCTTTGTGGGTCGAAGGCTGCGGCTGTTGATCGGGAAAAGTGGGCCTGCGCGCGACGGTGGAGGGGCTGCTCGCTATAGTGAAGGCTTGTGGCTCACGTGGTGCTGCGCGCGAAGGGCTCGCCGGCTACGTTTGACACCCCGATGGAACTCGACGGGACTCGACGGCTACGTTGGGTATTCTGACGGAACTCCACGGGTCCCGACGGCAATGGAGCTCCGACAGTGATGATGAAGAAACTTGCGTGACTGGGATGGTGGACGACTACTCGCGATGGCTGCCTGCTGCTTGGACGATGAAGGTGGTCGGAGGATGAAGGTTCGATGGTAGCGGGCTGCTCGATGAAGATGATGGCGATGAACAAGGTGAGGGACGATGATTGCTTCGGGAAAAAAAAAAAAAGAGAGAGGGCCGAGAGAAAGAGAGAGAGACGTGAGGGAATGAGAGGTAATTGTAACATGTGGGATTTTCATACCGTATATCACAAGAGTTCTTGCACAATAGAACTAGGTAATTGATATAGGCTAGGACTCTTATTGCTTGGATGAGGAATAAAACATCGTGAAGTCTTGAGCTTTCATCTGGCTTAGTAAAATTGGACTGTTATTTGAGCTCAATTTATCATCCTAATAATTATTATCTTCTTTAATTAAAATTACATTAAATAAATTAAGCGATTTCATAATTAAAATCATATTAACATTATTGCATTTTATACTTAGGAAAATTAAATAGATGAGGACATCTAAATAATTTCATTTTTTTTATCATTAACTTGATAAATAAATGAGTGTGGACACTCACTTAAATATCACATAAAATCGAGCTTACAATAAAAATAAAAATAACTCTATAAATCATTAAATTAAACATAAATAATATCCATGAAGATAATACTTAAGCATAAAATGAATGACATGAGTTTGGGGTGTTAAAATTATTCTAAATGATGTTCCTGTTTTCGCCTTATTCGACACTGGAGCGACCCATTCATTCATATCACACCGATGTCTTGATGCCATTGGGGTTCGTTTTATCAGCACTGTCGATTCTCTCGAGGTGAGGTTAGCCTCGGGAAAAAATGTAGTGACCAATGCTAAAGCCAAGAGTCTCAGCCTTTCCGTCGGCGGTCGTATCGTAACTACCGACGCATATGTCATCGAGATGAGGGATTTTGAACTCATTCTCGGTATGGACTCGCGAACCCGTTTTCATGCAGATATTCGTTGTCACGACCGGGAGATTACTCTTCATCTTCTGGAGGACGACCAGATCACTTTCTTCGGTACAAGGACTTGTACTCTGCCTCATATCATTTTCATGGTGAAAGCCAAAAGGATCTTATGACGAGGTGATTGCAGGCGTACCTAGTGGGCCTTGTCGTAGCCGAATCGAAAGCACAGATACCTCACGACATTCCTATCGTTCGTGAGTTTGTGGATGTGTTTCCAGATCAGCTTCCAGGCGGACCGCCCAACCGGCAAGTAGAGTTTTCTATTGATCTTATACCAGGAGCCGGACCAGTATCCAAGGCGCCGTACAGAATGGCACCTAAAGAATTACAAGAGTTAAAGACTCAGATCCAGAAGTTGTTGAAACTCGGTTATATTCGACCGAGTGTTTTACCATGGGGAGCACCCGTTCTATTCGTCAAAAAGAAGGATGGTTCTATGAGTATGTGTATTGATTACTGGGATCTTATCCAGTTGACAGTGAAGAATAAATATCCGCTTCCCTCAATTGACGACTTGTTCGACCAGCTGAGGGGAGCCTGTGTATTTTCTAAGATTGATTTGTGTTCAGGTTACCCTCAGTTGAAGATCAAGGAGTCAGATATTTCCAAGACAACATTCCGAACTAGATACGGTCATTACGAGTTCGTGGTTATGCCGTTCGGTCTTACCAATGCCCCAGCGGTGTTCGTAGACTTGATGAACTGTGTGTTCCATCCATTCCTAGATCAATTTGTTATTATTTTCATTGATGACATTTTGATTTATTCCAAGATCCAGAAGGAGCATGAAGAGCATCTGAGGGTTGTTCTTGAGACCCTTAGACGAGAAAAGTTATATGATAAGTTCTCTAAAGGCAAATTTTGGCTGCAGCGAGTGGCTTTTCTTGGCCACATTTAGAATTGGTCAGCGCCAAAGAATCTGTCCGAGGTTCGTAGTTTCCTCGGTTTAGCAGGTTATTATCGGAGATTTATTGAGGGATTTTCGAAGATTGCCCTCCCTTTGTCCCTGTTGACGATGAAGTCTGTGAAGTTTGAGTGGACAAATCGTTGTGCGTCGAGGTTTCAGGAGCTTAAGAAGACGCTTACGATGGCACCAGTGCTGACTATTCCGGATCTTTCTCGAAGTTTCACCATCTTTAGTGATGCTTTGAGACTGAGTTTGGGGTGTGTACTTTTGTAGGATGGCCAGGTTGTAGCGTATGCTTCACGTCAATTGAAGCCCCATGAGCAGAATTATCTTACGCACGACTTGGAGTTAGCTGCAGTGGTACATGCACTTAAGATATGGCGGCATTATTTATATGGTGGTCAGTGCGAGATTTATACCGATCACAAGAGTCTGCAGTACATTTTCATGCAGAAAGAGCTCAACATACATCAGTGACGTTGGTTAGAGCTTGTTAAAGAGTACGACTACATGATTCAGTATAATCTAGGGAAGGCAAACATTGTAGCGGATGCCCTAAGCCGAAAGGAAAAGGGTGAATTGACTTGTTCTATTACTCAGCAGAGCCATCTTGTCCGAGACTTTGCCCGGATGCAGATTCAGGTCGTCGATTCACTTCCTGCAGAGATTACGGGGAGTGTCAGTTCGACATAGATCCAACCCACATTGAGAGATAGAATCCAGCGGGAGCAGGCTTTATACCAGTTTGTTCGTGCTATCGAGGCCAAAGTTCATGCCAGAGGAATCGAGGGTTTTTATCGAGGCACGAATGGAGCCTTGGAGTTCAGAGGCAGGATCGTAGTGCCGAAAGTTAAGGCTTTGCGGAAGGAGATCTTAACAGAAGCACACACCGCGCCTTATTTAGCTCACCCGGCAGCACAAAGATGTACCACGACTTGAAAAAGTCATGTTAGTGGCGGGAAATGAAGAAAAACGTATCCGATTTCGAGAAGAAGTGTTTTTTCTGCCAGCAAGTCAAGGCCGAGCACAAGAGTCCGTTGGGCCTTCTACAACCACTTGAGATTCCAAAGTGGAAGTGGGAGGAAGTCACGATGGATTTCGTTACGGGGCTACCCAGATCATCCAAGCATCACGACTCGATTTGGGTAATAGTGGACAGATTGACGAAAGTCGCACATTTTCTACCTGTGACGATGACTATGTCGATGGAGAAGGTAGCCAAAATTTATACCCGTGGGATCGTCCGAATCCACAGAGGGCTCGTTACTATTTTGTCAGATCGAGATCCCAGATTTACCAGCAGGTTCTGGGAGAATTTACACGAGGTGATGAGCATGCAGTTACAGTTCAGTTCAGCTTACCATCCAAATACAGACGGTCAATCAGAGAACACTATCCAGACTCGAGGATATGCTCCGAGCTTTGGTTCTAGACAGAGCTGCCAAGTAGGAGTCGATATTGCCATTAGTCGAGTTTACCTATAACAACCGTTATCAGGCGTCGATCCAGATGGATCCTTACGAAGCACTTTACGGTTGTAAATGCCATTCACCTCTTTACTCGAACGATGTTGGCGAACGTCAAGTACTCGGTCCGAAGATGATCGAGGAAACAGTTGAACAGGTAGAGTTAATCAGGCAGAGACTTAAGACAGCCCAAAGTCGGCAGAAGTCATCGACCGACAAACACAGACGAGATATTCAGTTTGAGGTCAGAGAGCGAGCCGTTCTGAGAGTTCAAACATTCCGAGGGATCATTCGATTCGGGAAGAGAGGAAAGTTATATCCTCGTTTTATCGGCCCGTTTGAAGTTCTTGAGCGAGTGGGAGAAGTGGCTTATCGTCTAGCTTTACCTCCCGAGTTATCCAATGTTCATAATGTTTTTCATGTATCTATGTTACGGAACTATGTGTGCGATCCAGATCATATTCTTCAGCATAGTGAGATCCAGCTACAGCCAGATTTATCATACGAGGAACGACAGGTAGCAGTTTTGGGCCGTCAGGTTCGTCGGCTCTGGAAACGAGATATTCCACTCGTACGTATCAGATGGAATCGCCACAGTGAATCCGATGCCACTTGGGAGCGCGAAGCTGACATTAGAGCCGGTTTTCCTGAATTTGAATTTTGATGTATATACTTTTTCTTGTATCCTGTATATATGTCCAGTTTTGTATTTCTGAGGACAAAAATATTTTAAGGAGGCAGATTGTAATAGCCCAGTTTGTTTTTGATAAAAGTGATGAAATTCATTTTATTAATTTTGCTCATTTCAGCTTTCGAGCCAATAAGTTCGACTTTAAGTCAAAAATCTATTCAGTTTTTTTGATTTTTCAATAGCCGAATTAAATTCGATTATTAGTTCCCGAAATGTTTATTTTATAAACAGACACTATTAGTCGGGATTAATTATTCGAAATCGAGAATATTCGAATTAATTTTCAAAATAAAGTTTCAAGCCAAAGCATCACAAGCCAAGTCCATGCGCGAGCACACCGTGCATTGCTGCACGTACGTACGTGCGCCATTGCCGTGAGCGACGCACGCCATCGCCATGCGTATGCGTGCGCCATGCATGGGCCACCGGCCATCAGTAGTTTATGATCAAGTGATTAATGGGAGCAAGCTAAATTAGTCCATGCTTTAGCCCTAAGTGTTGTCGTGAGTATATTAGCTTGAGATAAGAAATATTCTGAAAGTTGCACATATGAGTCGCCTACATGCTTAGGTTATGTGGCATTTAGTAACCATTATGTGATGACTAAACTAATCCTTGAGTGCCACCTAGGAGCATGACTAGGTAAGCAAAAACGCAACCAAAGCCCACGACTCAAGCAAGTGGCACCACCTTATTTACCATCAATTTTCATCTCCATCATCTTTTACTATTTAAGTAATTAGTTAACCATGAGTTAATATTTTCTCATGCAAAACCGTGCTTAGGGAGAGAAAA